TGAACATCACCGGCAGAAAGGCCATATCCTGCTGAAAACTAGGGGGAGGTGAGCAGATCCCCCAGCCGGGTGGTGCCCGGTTTGGGAAATCACTGCATGGATAATGATGAATACTGGACTCCCCCAAGTCACCCCCAGAAGGGACCCGCCATAACAAACTTTCCCACTCCAAGAGGAGGTGAATAATGGCCTCCTCAGCAAGTAAAGATTCCAAAGATCCACGCAGAAGGGCCTCCTCATCGGAAACGGATTCCCCAAAGGCTATGGACCATGGCAGGATACCCACGTGGAAGATGGGCCAAGGGGTGAAAACACGACGGGCTGGATCGTTAACGGGCCCCTCCGAGAAAAAGGGGCGGGGAAACTAAAACCCGGACTATACGGGTCACCTCCCCCCCCACAACAGGGGCACCCGGGATGACTGTGGAGTCAGCAGTTTAGGAACACTTCCCAATGCCAAGATGAGAGACTGGCGATGTTAGGGGGGAATCCAGTTTCTGGAGATGGTTTCTCAGTCCTAACTTACAGAGGGCACTACAGCATGGGGTTTGCCACTGGGGAAACGCACCTCAGAATGCCGAACAACAGAAAGGTTGCTGAACAGGTGCTCTCACCTTAAAGAAGAAGTTCAAAAAGAACCCTCATTTTCCAGCAGATTACTCTGCATTCGGGGGAAAATTGGATTGAAAAAGGACTGTGCTGTCGGGTTTCCCTAAAGAGGCCCTCGCCCCGCAGTGATGGTAAGATTTGGGTACCTGCCCCTCATGGCGTTTATCACGCCAGGAAGAAAAAAGATCCGTGGGTGTTCGACGTGGGCATCGACCAAGGAACCAACTTTGAACAAACCCACGCTGCAGGACCTTATCCACAAGTTTCTCTAATTGGGTCACACAAGATTCAGGAAAGGGGAGGAGCTGCCCGCGGACGTGGGGGCCCATTTTCCCCCAAAATCAGGGTTCCGGACGGGATGCTGACCCCCTTTCTTTTTTCCTTGGGGGCCCCAGGTGACATTGACCAGGACCTTCGCAGGGAAAAAAATGAGGGGGCACATATTCGGCGCAACCTCCTCGCCGAGTTGTGCCACTTTCGCTCGGCAGAAGTGTGCACAAACCCCCAGAAACAGACAGCTCCGCGGGTCAACACCGGGGCTGCGCAACTTCTACGTCGACGACTCCTAAAATCATTCGCTTTTTAAGAAGAAAGCATTTCCCTTGTAACGAGTAGGGGGAAATCCGGCCCCCTTGGGAAAGGATTGGGCTCCAAAGGGGATTACAATCCCCCGTGTGCGTCTGCTTTTCCCGGGGTGGGGGAAAGAGCCGAGGAGCAAGGACCTGAATCTCCCCCCGATAAGCTCCCGTCGGCGAGCCTTGGAGTCCGTTGGTGAAATGGAGAGGCGACAGCTTAAATTTTCAAATTGTTTTTCAAGCAAGACCACCCACCAAAAGGGACCCCTTCTTCCGTTTTTGGCCGATCAGATCCACGGGGCACCAGCTCCAGGGGGGTCTTGAAGCAAAAAAAGGGACCTCCAAGAGCTCTGTCGCCCAAGCGGGGGGGGGGGGGGGGGGGTGGGTTACAGCACCCCCTAAACCCCTTTTGCTCAACAGGGGGACATTTGGATGGAGGACCTTCCCCTGCTGGAGGATTTCGGAGTGGCTAAAATTTTTCAACCTAGGGTTTTTGGCGATGCTACATTCAGTCACTGCATCTTTCGCAATGCTAGCCAGGAGGGCTTTGGGAACAGTGAGCTATCTGCTACTGAAGAAAAACGACAGGCTGCATGTTCCCCTTCGTTATGGCAAAGCCAGAGGGCGCCGTAAAAGCCCCTCACCATCCCGCGCATGGAGCTTGCAGGGCCCCCCAGCGCACTATAACCTTCCTTGAGATCAAAAGATAGAGCTTCATCACAGGATTCTGTGTTTTTGGTCTGACGCACCCAGTGCTCAAAACATTAGAAACAGAACTACGGGTTTCGTACCTTCGCGCCAAAGATTTGAGCCATCCTGGAGCGCGGAAGAAAGGCAAGGGCGAAAATTTTAATACGCGCAGAATCCCTGACTTTGCATCTAGAGGACTAAGCAGGAGTCTTTCCTGCTTGCAGGACATGGATACAGGGGCCGGATTTCCCCTTACCAAAAACCTGAAGGAGAATGGCCACAAAACCCCTAAACTCTGGGGATCTAATATTGAGGACCCAAAGTAAAAAAGGGCGGGGGTCACCTAAAATAGCCAAAAAAAAACTGGACACATTTCACACCCGGGTACCCCCAAACTTGGGACGCTAGAAAGCGGTAAAATTTGGATCTAAAGCTGAAAAAAAAAGCGGGCAAATTCGTGCCCCCAAAAAAAAGGAGTTGAGTGCCACACTCGCCCCAAACTCAAGTTCAGAGGGAGATGAAACCTTCAGGCAAATCTACCAAAACCAATTTTCGGGGGGAAAATGTGAAAGAAGTGAGATGGAATCGTTCGCTTCTGTCAGCGGCAAAAAAAAAAACTGTGACGAAAAATATCCGTCTTCAGAAGGGAGAGGTTTTAAGGGGTTTGAGCATCACATCTGCAGACCCCAAACCTTGCTCAGGTGGAGCCTCAGGGTAGGAGGAAGGCCAGCAGATCGGCGATGCCAAAAGGCCATGAAAATCCTCCCCACCACCAAGGACTCTCCTGTAACAGAACTTTTTCTCGGGGATATTCTTTGAGGGGGTGGGTCATAGCGGGCGCAACCTGTCTATCCGAAGGGGCGAACTAATACTGGATCCCTGGCGCTTACAGCCATATAAAGTCCTCTCTAATGTGTCACTTGTCGACGCTCGCATGGCACCGGGGGCAGGGCAAAAGCAATGGGGGACTTGCCCCGGACAGAGTGCCCCGGGGATGAACCCCCTTTCACCAAAACACCGGGGTTGACTACTTCGGCATTCGGGGTTAAGGGGGGGCCGAAGTGTTGTGAAAGGGGTGGGGTGTTATTTTCACCTGTTTACCACCGTCGTCCACAAAATCGAGGGGGCATCATTTTGGACAAGACTCTTTCATCCATGTTTTCCGGCCTTCCAGAAAGGAGGGGGCCAGGTGAAGACCTACGCTCGGACAACGGTCCAATTTTCGTTGGTGCGGGGAAGGATTAAAGGAGAGCTATTGATCAGGGGAATAGCTCCAAATTGAAAGCAGCCTACTCAGCGGGGAGCCCAAATGGTTTTTCCCAATCCCCCTACCGGTTCTCATCACGGGGGGGTTTTGGGGAAGGGTGATCCGGTCCATCAGGAAACCTCAGCCCACTTAAAGCTCCAGCCCCTGGACGAAAAAGGGCCCGCACCCCCTCCTGTGGGGGCAAAGCCATTATAAACATCGACCTAAAACCAAGTTCGAACGACCCGTCGGACCTGGAAGCGTTAACCCCCAACCACTCTTGCTCCTCAAGACAACCCTTTCACTTCCTCCACCCCTTCTTCGGAAAGGACGACTCTACTCCCGTAAAGGTGGAAAAAGGGTCCAGTAATGGCAGACATTTTCTGGAAACGATGGCAAGAGAATACTACCTCGCCAAAGCACAGAAGGGGACGGGTTTGGGTCTCGCAACCGAGAAGGGAGTTGCCCTTTATCGTTGATGATTCCCCCCCCCGGAATTCCGGGGTCCGGGGCGGGACATCGAGGGGTTTCCCTGACAAGGCTGGGCTGGTTCGTCGAGTTCGGTCAGGAAAACGAAGACACTATCCTAGAAGACCACACTAAGGCTGTTCTCCAAGAACTCCATAGGCGGGGGAAAAGACCGTCCCCCCCTTACGGGCGCCATGTCCCTGGAAAACCTCGGGCGCCGGGCAAAAATTTCCCCAAATAAGAGACATTTTCTATTGACTTGAATTTTTGGGTTTAGTTGGCTCCTTGTGTGTGAATTTTGTAATGTCTCTATTTAGAAGAGAAATTAGGGGCCGGAATAGGAGCCAAAGGGACTGAATATTTTTTTATTTGTAAGAGGCTCATATTTACTTTTATTGTTTTATATGTTCAGTTTTATTCAGCCGAGAGCCTGATTTCAGTAAAAGGACAATTATTTTTTGCTGTTTTATTCGATATTTTATAATAAAGTATAAAGAAAGGTTTTATTAGACTTGTTTTAGTATATTATTTTTTTTTTTCTGCCCTTTTTTAATAGGCCCCGCGTTCGTCCTCACGGGTTTTTCGGCAGTTTTTGTTTTTCCCGGGGTCGGGGCCCGGAAGAAAGAATAGCCCCGGGGGCAACATTTTTGTACCGTAGCTGTAGCCTTTTTTTTTATAAGTTTAAAAGGCTTTAAACAGCCGACTAAGGTTTGTTTTCTACCGTGAATTAAAAACCTTGGATCACCCTGAACGGAACAGCCCGTGGAACTAAATAAATGTTCGCAAACGTTCTTTTCAACGAGTACGTGGAGGTTTTCACCGGCTAACAACAGCCGCTGGCGGAGTAGCACAACAACGTCTCCTTTTTACCAGGCCCCCTCACACCCAAAATCCCAGACCCCCTTTCAAGGTGGCTGGAGCATTTTGGCAACATTAATTGCTTGTAGCTGACTAACTCTAAACCCTGACACACACTTCATATTCCCAAATCTTCATCTAGACTCCTCTATAGATAAATCTACTTCATCAATATCCATTACCAAGCTCTAACACTGTCCCAAAAAACTTTTTGGAGTTTTGGTGGGGGCCTGGTTTCAAAAACCAACGTAGCAGGGCGATTTGATTGCTAATGAAAGCCAACAAGACACTAAAATTACTAAACTCTACTTTGTACTGATCTCTTAAAAAATCCCCAAAAACATCAGCAAAAAAAAGAGCAAAGCACTTTAAAACTGTCCTATTTTTGCTTTTAAAATTTTTCATCTGAGGATATTTTCCCCTAAAAAAAAAAAAAAAAGTCTTTTTGGAATATATCCAGCCGTAGCTTATCTTTTCAACTAAAAGTTTCTTAGAGTAAAAAATTAAGTTTTATTTCTTAATAAATTCATTCAGAAAAAGATGTGCAACACCATGCCAAAGTTGCTCAGTATGGGTCTGCCTTGATTTTTTTATTTACAATTTAAACTTATCAATTGCTTGTTCTATGGACAGCAAACTTGCTTCATCTGTAACTAATATGTTGTTGTTGCACTTTATTATGTTTATTCCCCTCATTACAGAAAAAATAAGAAATCATAAATTTAAACATGTAGTGGCCATTTAAATCTAATTTACTCAGGTCCAAAATAATTAACTTTCAAATGTTCACTTCCAAATATTCACCCGGGACCTGAGTATTTACCTGATTTACTATATAACACCTTATCTATTCTAGTTTCTATGTAAACAGAGCTGTTAATTAATCTCAAAACTTGCCTAAAAAAAAAAGACTTGGAGTTTCTCACCTAATGAGGTGAAGGAATTTCTAGATGGACATATATCACCAGCCAAACATGGTAAACACCTCTACTGTTCATTCCTGTGGCATCTAACTGCTGTGACTTATTCAAAAGGCTTCACACGAGTATGAATTCTCATGTGACAAGTCAAATTACCCTTTTGAGTAAATTTATTGTTACAAATGGTACAGGAAAAAGGCTTCTCACCAGTGTGAATTCTCATGTGAGAAGTCAAATTACCCTTTTGAGTAAATTTATTGTTACAAATGGTACAGGAAAAAGGCTTCTCACCAGTGTGAATTCTCATGTGTTTATCAAGATCAGATTTGTTAGTGAAGCGTTTTCCACAGGACAGACATTCAAAAGGCTTCTCACCAGTGTGAATTCTGATATGTGTATCAAGATGAGCTTTCTGAGTGAAGCTTTTTCCACAGGACGGACATTCAAAACGCTTCTCACCTATGTGAATTATCATGTGAGTAGTCAAATGACTCTTTTGAGTAAATTTATTGTTACAAATGGTACACGAAAAAGGCTTCTCACCAGTGTGAATTCTGATGTGTTTATCAAGATTAGATTTGTAAGTGAAGTTTTTTCCACAGGACGGACATTCAAAAGGCTTCTCACCTATGTGAATTGCCATGTGAGTAGTCAAATGACTCTTTTGAGTAAATTTATTGTTACAAATGGTACACGAAAAAGGCTTCTCACCAGTGTGAATTCTGATGTGTTTATCAAGATTAGATTTGTTAGTGAAACTTTTTCCACAGGACAGACATTCAAAAGGCTTCTCAACTTTGTGAATCATCATATGTTTATCAAGTCTAGATTTCTTTGTGAAAAATTTTCCACAGGAGAGACAAAAAAACTTCTGATCTGTGTGAGTTCTCATGTGAACCATTAAATGCTCTTTTTTAAGAAAGTTTTCTCCACATGTCAAACATGGGAAAGGTTTCTCTCTTGTATCTTTAACAAGCTGTTCTTTCTGCTCACTTATGGGGAGCTCCATGGTTTCCTCTTTTATCCAGGGATGTTCTGGCTTTTGATGCTCTTCTTTTATCTGCGGATGTTCCGACTCCTCTTGGTCCAAACTGAATTTCCTCTCCTGTCCACAGAGCTGCTGGTCAGAGAAATCCTCCTCTTTTTGAACATAATCCTGCAGGCGGTCTGGAAAGACAAACACAGCAAAAAGGCGTTCTATTGGTGGTTAAATAAAGGACACCTCACATAAAAGCACCAAACTCTCTCCTTGAGGTTGAGGAGAAAGTGGATCCTATCAAGCAGACTGGAGATATGAAGTTTATTCTGGCCTAAATTTATTTCCCCACAAACAATTATTAAGGAAAGTAAAGCATTTACATCCAACACCACAGTGACTGTCTGGCAAATGAGGAAGTAATGAGGCACCCTAAACTCAGCAGTGCTTCCTGTACACCTCTGTCTGGAAGAGACATACCCCAGCTCAATGTGTCAGAAGTTTAGCAGGAGCTGCCATTTTAATCCCATATCATAGAGGTTTCTAGAATTTCCTTCTTTTATCTTCAGAGAAATATCCTGTCCAGGGGTGATGCTGAGAAACTAGTCCATGCAATTGTTACTTCAATGATGGACTATTGTAATTCTTTTTGAAAACCGTCCGAACCGTTCGGTTCGACTGTCTCGGTTGGATTCGCGTGTGTTTCGTTCGGTTCATGTGCTGCTCCTTTTTCTCATAGGCGAAGCATTTACACTCCAGAGCAGAAGGTGGCGGTACTGCGACCAAAACCATCCACCAGTAGTAAGCAAGAAGAAGAAGCGAAGCAGCGTAGCCGGGTGTAGCAGAAAAAAATCAGTTGTTGTGGAGAATTGTGTGGGTATGACGAGTGGGAAAGAACAGGAGTTGGACGACGCGCCAGCAGCACTTTATAGGTCTGCTGTATGGGACCACTTTGCATTTAGAGTGACCTACAATGACGGCGGAAAGAAAGTTGTGGATAAAAGTGCAACAGTGTGGAAGCATTGTACAACACGTTTTGTTTATGCTAACAGCAACATGACCAACATGTCATGCTAACCCCAAAATCCCACATACTCCGCCAGCGCTAAGCCCCGCTGTGCTCCAGACCGGCTGCACTAACCAAAGCCTACAGCCTCCACTGTGGCTCCCGTCCGCTCCGCTCCGAGTTCCTTGGAGATCGTTGAGGGCATGCGCGAGATGATTACATTCAAAGCAGCAAAACATGCGGAAATGATCCATGGTTTCCGCGGATCATTAAAAATAATTACAATTCATTATTTTATTTTTTGTTTTTTCATTAATTTCATTTAAAAAAAATCATACATTTTTATAATTTTTATTAAAAACATTTTTTTCGGTGCAACAATAAACATATACCGAACCGAAAACCGTGACCACGAAACTGTGAACGGAACCAAACCGTTGATTTTGTGAACCATTCCACCCCTAGTCAGGAAGTCCACAAACTGTAGCCAAAAGTCTTTAGCTGATCCAAAATGCTGCAGTCAGAGTCCTGATGAAAATTAAAAACAGACACCATATCCCTCCTATTCTAGCTTCTCTTCATTAACTTTCTGTTAAGAATTTAAAATGCTCCATATCACATATAAAGCTCTAATTAACCAGGATCCATCTGATATACACTCACTGGCCACTTTATTAGGTACACCTGTCCAACTGCTCGTTAACACTTCATTTCTAAGCAGCCAATCACATGGCGGCAACTCAGTGCATTTAGGCATGTAGACATGGTCAAGACAATCTCCTGCAGTTCAAACCGAGCATCAGTATGGGGAAGAAAGGTGATTTGAGTGACTTTGAACATGGCATGATTGTTGGTACCAGAAGGGCTGGTCTGAGTATTTCAGAAACTGCTGATCTACTGGGATTTTCACGCACAACCATCTCTAGGGTTTACAGAGAATGGTCCGAAAAATAAAAAACATCCAATGAGCGGCAGTTCTGTGGGCGGAAATGCCTTGTTGATGCCAGAGTTCAGAGGAGAATGGCCAGACTGGTTCGAGCTGATAGAAGGGCAACAGTGACTCAAATAACCACCTGTTACAACCAAGGTGGGCAGAAGAGCATCTCTGAACGCACAGTACGTCGAAATTTGAGGCAGATGGGCTACAGCAGCAGAAGACCACACCGGGTGCCCCTCCTTTCAGCTAAGAACAGGAAACTGAGGCTACAATTTGCACAAGCTCATCGAAATTGGACAATAGAAGATTGGAAAAAAGTTGCCTGGTCTGATGAGTCTCGATTTCTGCTGCAACATTCGGATGGTAGGGTCAGAATTTGGCGTCTACAACATGAAAGCATGGATCCATCCTGCCTTGTATCAACGGTTCAGGCTGGTGGTGGTGGTGGTGTCATGGTGTGGGGAATATTTTCTTGGCACTCTTTGGGCCCCTTGGTACCAATTGAGAATCGTTGCAACACCACAGCCTACCTGAGTATTGTTGCTGACCATGTCCATCCCTTTATGACCACAATGTACCCAACTTCTGATGGCTACTTTCAGCAGGATAATGCACCATGTCATAAAGCTGGAATCATCTCAGACTGGTTTCTTGAACATGACAATGAGTTCACTGTACTCAAATGGCCTCCACAGTCACCAGATCTCAATCCAATAGAGCATCTTTGGGATGTGGTGGAACGGGAGATTCGCATTATGGATTTTCAGCCGACAAATCTGCGGCAACTGTGTGATGCCATCATGTCAATATGGACCAAACTCCCTGAGAAATGCTTCCAGCACCTTGTTGCATCTATGCCACGAAGAATTGAGGCAGTTCTGAAGGCAAAAGGGGGTCCAACCCATTACTAGCATGGGGTACCTAATAAAGTGGCCGGTGAGTGTAAGTGATGAGTTCTATTGATTAGACTGCTTGTTGAATAGAGTTAAGAAAAAACTGGGAAACAATCTGTTAGAGTGATAATTATAAATTATTGTGTGGACATATGAAACATTGAAAGAAAGAGGATGCTACATTTCTATGCTGTGAATCAACCAGAAGGGTCATAAACTTTTATGACCTCCAGTAAGAATCACACGGTTGTGTGACTTCCATCCAGCCAGTTGGTCAATTCACACTATCTTGTTACCTGACAATCATTACTGGGTCTTCTGTTTTAGGCCCACCAGTTTGATGTTGTAAAATGTTAATAAAAGGCTTTGCTATGAAGGGATCAGTGTGAGAAGGTGATGGTTTTCCGAGCCAGCATCTTCCCTCCACCCTGCAGACGCTGACGTCACAAAACCCTGTCTCTGTGTTGATCATTTCCTTTTAATCTTTTAAACTCACATTTTTCTGGATTATACCCCAACATTTTTGGTGCTGAAACTCCGGGAGTCAAGATCCAATTGTCCAGGACTGTCCGGGATCTGGGTATTCTATGAAGAGTCTGGGACTCTGTGTTGTAAAAAAAAAAAAAATATTAGGCCTTAGAATAGTTGTGTGTGACTGTGTGAAAGTGTGTGAGGAAACAATCGAACCGCTGTGTTCTGTTGTTTCATACTAAAACAGCAGGAATTAATACAGTATAACTCTTGTGGATGCAGAGGCAAGAATCTCTCACCTGAAAAGGAGAAAGCAGAAATTACCACAACAGTGTTTGGATGCTGTCCTGCTGAATAAACATCTAGTGCGTAGAATACCCTAGGTGTTTGTACTGGACTAAATTCTTTAAAAATGGGACAAGGTAGTAGTAAGAAGGAAATGCCAGGTGATGTTAGATGGATGGTGGCGTGTTGTGGTGGTGACCCAGAGTTTGCCAGAAAGTGGATTGAGAAGGAGGACTGGGATGGAAAGTTGAGAGTTGAGCCGCTGACAAAGATCCAGCAGAAGGTGGAGATGAAGTTGGTGTATAAATCACAAAGAGAACAAGCTAAATACAGAAAATAATTAGAAGAGTTAAAGAAGTGGATTATGCAAGCAAAAAATAGGGAAAGCCAAATACAACAGAAGAAGGATAGAAAGAAAGCTACAATTGCTGCTGTAAAAGTTAAAGCTGATGAAGAAACTGTTGTATCCCGTATGCTTCCTCAATATCCTGATCCTAATCAAATTCAAGGGGGTGATGGGGTTAAAGCAGTGGCATCAGCTGCGCAGGAAGGTGGACATAAACCCCATCACGGTAAATATGAACACAGACATGCCACTGTTCCTCCTCCAGTGGCCCGACCATCGTATAATGATATTGAAAGAGCAGGAGCAAGCCCCCTGTCCATATCGTCCTCTACGGGTGGTATGGAACTCAGTGCCTCTGACTCTTGTGAGCATGAATTAAGAAAATCAAAAAGGGATGTGAAGCTTAATTCAAAGTATTACAATAATGATTATCAAATAGAGGCTTGTAAAAAAGGCCCATCTGCCCCTATTTATCCAAGATTGGCTGAATTGAAAAAAAACAAGAACAGGACCAAGATCCTGGGGGTGGGACATGTGTTTTTCCAATGTTAGAGGTGGCCAACCCTCATTATGGTCAACGCACGGGACCCCAAGATAATGACCCCCTAGATCATAGACCCACTATTCTTGTGTATAGGCCATGGACAGATGCAGAGATGCAGACTGCCTGTCAAGGTTTACCTCCAGCCAGACAGAACCCAGTGAGATTGAGAAAATTCATGGCAGAAACAGGAAAGCCATGGCCAGAGTGTTTGCACTTGGTAAAATTACTCATGAGAATCATTCCAACATCTGATGGTTTGACCCCTTTTGAGATAGTGAATGGGAGACCTTTTGTTCTACCTATATGGGAAGGACAGCCATGGGTAGAAAAAGAACAAGATGACATTGACCCGCTAACTAAGTGGATGCTGAAGCTTTTCAGCGACAAAACTGTTCGGAAAATCCAGGAGAGAGACACTTGGATCCACCAGAGTCGTTGTAAACTGATTAAAAACTTTCCACAGCAAGAAGCCCAATTACCTTCACAGGAACCCCATAACTAAGGTGAGGGATCTGTGGTGAAGTCCAGCTTCAAAGGGGTTTTGCTTTTTTTAGGACCACTCGTCTCAACGCTGGTGAAGGAAACAACCTAACCCAGTCCTTTAGAGTCCTAGTTAATGGGTGTTTCATTGGAAGAACTGATGAAGATAGCTTTACCATTTATAGGATTGTTAATCATATTTTTCCTTTTTATTTGTTGCTTAATACCATGCCTGCAATCAATGATTCAGAAAATGATAGGAACCACTCTAATCCAATATTCAGCTATCACTTATGCTCAACTCCGCCGAGATGCTGATTAAGATAATGATGATGATGAAGCTGTGTAATCTTTTACAGGGATAATGATCGCCTTGGGAGGGGTCGAGCAGGAATTTTTCTCTATTGGAGAGTTTTTGCCTACTCAAGGGACAGATTATTTTGAAAGTTTTTACATTCTTTTTTACCTTTTTGCTTGAATTTTCCTTTTAATATTGTTGTGTTTTGCATATTAAACTTTGATTACTGAATTCCCTATCTGCAAAGCATTCATGATGTATGTAGTGAAAATCTTTTTAGAAGTGCTATATGCTGATGTTTTTATGTATAAGACAAGGGAAATGTTAGTGATAATTATAAAATTATTGTGTGGACATATGAAACATTGAAAGAAAGAGGATGCTACATTTCTATGCTTTGTCAACCAGAAGGGTCATAAACTTTTATGATCTCCAGTCAGAATCACACGGTTGTGTGACTTCCATCCAGCCAGTTGGTCAATTCAAACTATCTTGTTACCTGCATCCTCCCAGACAATCATTACTGGGTCTTCTGTTTTAGGCCCGCCTGTTTGATGTTGTAAACTGTTAATAAAAGGCTTTGCTATGAAGGGATCAGTGTGAGAAGGTGATGGTTTTCCGAGCCAGCAGCTTCTCTCCACCCTGCAGACGCTGACGTCACAAAACCCTGTCTCTGTGTTGATCATTTCCTTATAATCTTTTAAACTCACATTTTTCTGGGTTAAAACCCAACACAATCCCACCTGATCAAAATGCTGCTGTGTAAATAATGAGTTTGAAATATTTCTATTTAGTTCCTAAAAATGATCGACACTCAGGTGCTCCTCATAAGTTAGATCCTCGTGGAATCTCTGGGCCACCTCGCCTTATGTCCGCGGAAACTCAGCTGCGTCTTCTTCACCAGTCGGAGTTCGTTTTCCAGCTTCCACCACTTGCGAACCATCAATTCATTTATATTGAAATCTCTCGCAGCTGCTCGATTTCCATGTTCCTCTGCGTAGCTGATAGCCTGCAGTTTAAACTGGGCTTCATAGGCGTGTCTCTTTGCCATTTCCAGGGTTGTTAAGACAACAATGTTCTGCATAAAGCACATACCTGTTCTTTTATACACAAGCCACGCCCACACTTCTCCCTTTAACGTTCTCACATACTCATGGTGGTCTCAACAACGTCCGCAGATAGGGCGCACCGCACCATAGGGCGCACCCCACATTTTGAGGGGAAAAAAAAGACGTTTAGGTGCGCCTTATAGTCGTGAAAATACGGTAGTTAAAAAAGCACAGAATGTCTGTCATCAACCCAGTCTCATGGGAAAATGTACCCCCACTACGTTGGTCCACACTGCAAAACGTAGTGGAGGTACATTAATGGCCATTTTTTTGTGGTACTGTTACATTTCTTCTGCCTAAACGCTCTCATGGGAAAATTTACCCCCACTACGTTGGTCCACACTGCAAAACGTAGTGGAGGTACATTAATGGCCATTTTTTTGTGGTACTGTTAAATTTCTTCTGCCTATACGCTTTCTATTGTTTTACGTCCTAGTCACTTGACTTTCAAGATTCCAGCTGGGAGAAGAAAAAAAAAATATATATGTCCGACATTCGCTCATTTTTTTGTGGAAAGATTAATGACTTGAGTTTGTTTTTGCATTAAAATGAGTTTTGATTACATTTCTAGTGATAAATGTATAGTTTGTTGCCAGAATATTTACTCAGGGAATGTACATATTCACTTGCTTGTTCGTTTCTTGCAAAGATTTTTCAAGATAATGTGAAACTGTAACATTTTGGTATAAACATGGCTGAGATTTCTCTAACTTTTAGTGGGAAAATCAATCATTTCAATCAGTTTCTGCATTTAAATGGGTTTTGATTACATTTATAGCGAGAAGTGTAGGGTTTATTTACATAATATTTACTTAGTGAACATACATAATCACCCGCTTGCTAGTTTTTGCTACGGTTTTTCGGATCTCGTCAGGATTATGTGAAATTGCAACGTTTTGGCTGCTACCCATCGCCTAGCATTTAGCTGCCGCCCCGATTCAACATTGAATTCATTGTGATTTAACTCCATCTGACGGATCAAACCCTCGCCACTGCGTGCGTTGCGTCTGAGGTTGATTTTCAGATCAACACATTATGTGGTGGCATACGGGAGAAACTAATTAAACTAGTTAAAAAAAGGATAATGGGCTAAGATCGGATGTGTTTTATTTGGAAATCTACCGGATCCTTTGTGCATTTAACTTCCTGTTTGGTGAGATCTCATTGATGGGTTTTGACCAGATTTTATCCAAAGAGGAACTAAAAAAAAAAATAAATAAATTTAAATACACAACCAGCATATCAGGAATCAGTGACAGAGAGCGACTGGGACCAAAGGTTTATTAATTTCTCCCCACTGATTTCCATTCAAAATGTTTTCGATCCCACCGGGCTCTAGGGAAGGGGCGTGCATACCGCCACCTACTGTTCATGAGTGTGTAGCAACATTGTTTTACATCTATCAAATTCTATTTTTTAATTTTGTATTCTGAAGATAAATAAATAATGCTTTCCTTAATCTATAAATATCTATTATATTTCCTTTATTTCCCAATAATCCTTTAAAACTCCATTCTTGGCCTGTCCTTTCAACTCTTTTCAATTTCTTCCTTTCAGGTTCATATGTTTTGCAGTTCATTAATACATCTGCATTTTCTATCTCTCCACATCCTTCACATTTATCATTATTTTTCCTCACTATTAAGTATAAAATGTCATTTAAATAAGTATGACCTACTGATAATCTGATCATTTCTTCCCTTCGGTTTCTCTCATTAATATTTCTATTTAATACTGACTTTTGTACTTTATATAACCTTCTTCCTTTTTTTATCTTCATTCCACATTTTTTTGCCATTTTTCAATTTCTTTCCTCTTAATAAATGATTTTCCTTCCACTTTCCCTAAAGGAATTGTAATTGTTATTGCCTCCTCTAAGGCCCTTTTTGCTAATTTGTCTGCCTTTTCCTTTCCTTTTACCCCTTCATGTGCTGGAACCCAACAAAACCAAATATTAATGCCACTCCTGTATAATCTAAATAAACTGTGCTGAAGTTCTAATACTAAATCTTTCCTATTATTTCCTTCTCCCTGAATACTTTCTAAAACTGCGTTGGAATCCGTGCATACCACCATACCCTCACTGTAAAAAAAGACCGTGAAATTTACATAAAAGCTATGTAAATACCGACAGAATAGGTTTGTAAACCCCAAAACACATATTTTTTGTTTAAATCACAGTGAACCTTTGTAAACTATTAAACAGAAGATTTTTGTGATATTTACAGCAACTTTGTGTGATAATAATCAAATTTATTTGTTAAAGCTAAAAATGTTGA